GATCCACATGCAGTGCACACTTAACCCAACTAGGAATTTCATCATATGCAAAGAGATAGTAAAGGAAGGTACAGACTTCACCTTCTCTTGGCAAATATCTCCTACCCCCATAAGATGCACAGTCAACAAGATCATGCTCAGGGTAAGAAATAGAAAAGGGGTCTAGGAAGCTATCCTTCCTCACACACAATGTAGGCTCTTCAAATGGATGGGAAAACCCCAAGAAGAGCTTTCCTGCATAGGGAAAGGAATCAACAATGTCGACCCCCATATGTTTGCCATTTTGACCAAACATTCCCATACAAAGGCTACAAATCAGCGCACTACTGGGGTCAAATGGAAAGGTAATCCATGTACTAGGATCAAGTGCACATCCAATTACCAGGTTGGCACTCTTTCCTTTAAATAACATACTCCACTCAATAGCATGAGCTTCATCATATGTAAACAAGTAATAGAGAAAGGTGTTTCTCAAATCAACTTCCTCTAGGGTGTCTACATGGGTATGACTACGAGTAAGCTCAAAAGTATTGGTCATACCATTAAGAAGTGAAACACACCAAGGAGAAGAGGTAATGGGAAAACAAACACCACCTTCCTCCTCGTCACCTTCCTTCCTTAGAAGAGTACTCTCATCTTCCAAGAAGAGATTTCCATCTTTGGGAGGGAAAGCCTCACACCATAGTGGGTTACTATAACAAGTATAGCTATCAAGAACTATATTGCTCTCAAGATTCACACCACTATGTACATCACTAGGAGTGATTTCATCATCTTTAAATAAGATATTGTACTTAAAGAGGGAATGATCAACCACTCGGGAAGAATTAAAAAAATCAAGTTCACCCTCAAAAAGACACATATCATTTTTCGAAGCTGTTTCAAGCACATGATCTCTATGAGTTAAACAAGTAATTGGATCTTCCACAAAAGATATGCTCATAGAGTCACTCCTATTCAATTGATCAACATTATCATTAGTACCACCAACTTGATGTTTCTTAATCACATTATAAGAACCCTCAACCAATGAACTACACTCATAAGCAGGTTGATCAACACAATTATCACAAGATAATGAACTATCATTCAAAGCACAGGTGTCAACACTACGTGGACACAAATCAATCTTACTAAAAGAATCAATTCGGTCATCAATAGGATCAACTAGTGTATCCACACTCTCAACAAACACATTATCAATGCATGGTAAAGAAACAATAGGCTCACATATAGACAAGCTAACATTTACGCTTTATTCATTTGCAATGGTAAAAGTGTTAAGTTTAGCTATTGTACCTTGACGCCCACAAGAAAGACCCTCTTTACCTTGGATGTTGGGACATCCCACAAAGGCGTCTGTCACACCTTTAGTTTTAGGCTCTTGGTTAGGAACTCGTTTTCCTCTATTCATTGTGCTTGTACCTATATAAGAATCCTTACAAAATGAAGGATAAACAACAGGGTTAGGTTGAGATTGTGGCACCCTATTCGAAGGGACGTTCACCCTTTCCTCTGTTTCCAACAGCCTACTCTCCACGGAGGTCATTCGCTCTTTTATGTTCACCATTCTCCAACTCACATCAGTAATTGCCTCTATTACGGATTCCCAGGTAACCTTCCCCTTAAGTGGCAGGGTCTCACTTCCGGTGGCCATGGTACTTAACAGTTAAGACAACTCAACAAAACAGCACACAACATTAGCATTAGTTAAATGAATCAACAATCCCTCATGTTTGCACACCTTTGATTGCCTCTCGAATTGGCGCGGCTAATGTTGAAGATTTTTTATACTCGATTGATCACAAGGTCTCAATTTCTACTATTGGCCGGAGTGGATTTTTGTTTTAAAAAATAGACGACTCAATTAAAGCAAATGGACTTGAGTCAAGAAGTTAACTACGAAGTAAAACGAATAAAAGCACACAAAGAAAAGCACTAACAAAGAAGTGAATTTCAAAAACCAATAGTCAACGAGTAGGTACTTACAAGTTGAAAATCAGTTTAGGATTCTTGATTACGAACTAGAATCAAAGAAAAGAAACTAGGAATTAGAACCTAAGATGAAAGGGGTCATAAGACGAGTTTCCCATCGCCAAATGACTTGTTTTCTTCGCCTAAGTTGAAGTTCAGCTCGCCAGCTTGAAGATTGACTCGCCAAACTTGACAATCGAAAAAGGCAACTCGGTGATCTAGGTGGAAGTTCAGCGATGCCGAGTGGATTCGGCGACCAAAGATGAGCTCGCCGAATTTTCCAGTGTCTTCACCAAAATAAGGTCCAACTAGGTGACCTAGCTACCCAAAGGGTGAGGGGCCGAGTGGAATGGGCGATCCAAGTAGGGATTCGCTCAAATTCCTCAAGCTGTAACTGCTCCGAAAATTTAACTTTGGTGGTCCCCCCCTCTTTCTTGGCCCTTTGTATTTACCCTTTTTGGTAAATTCTCTTTTTACAAACACTTTAACGCTTTCTCTTTCTTCCTTTTTGAAATCAAACACTTCATTTTTCCAATATTCCCTTCTTGAAGATTTGAATGTTCTTCAAGAACACTATAAAGACCCAAAATAAAACCCCGAAGATGTTTAGCTCAGAATTTCACAAAACTTTAGGTGAATGCTCTCCTTGATATAGGGAACAAACTCCAATACTTTTTAGCACTCAGTTCCTTGCCAAAATTTCCATATTTCAAAACCCACTTCGTCTTCTTCAACGCTTCTTCAACCAACAATGGTGGAAACTTCAATAGTGAACCAAACCCTTTCAAATCTCAGCCCTAGACTCGAAATAAGTTAGGGAACACTAATCTAACCTTGGAAACTCCAAAGAAGACTCAAATAAACAAGACCCATTTTAGAATTTCTTCAAAAATAGGTTGAACACTTTTTTGTCGTAACAAACCCAAGACTAGATTCATAGGAACGAAACTAAGCCTTGCTCTGATACCAAATGATGTAATTCTCACAAGAGGAATCACAATAAAATGTAGAACAAAAGAAATATAGAAGAAGAGACACAAGAAAAGGAACAATTGAAAACTAAAGGATGTATTAAATCCTAAAACCTCCAATTACAATCCCTAACAATCACCTAATCAAGATAAATAGATAGACACGCAAAGAGGAAACAAAAAGCAACCAAAGGGTATATTAAACCCAATGACCTCAATCTGTTAATCTTACAATAGCACCTACCTCTTACGAAGACCTCAAGGAAATTGAATCTCCAAGCAACCCCCGTTTCTAAACAAAGTTCAACAAAAGCTTTACCAAGCTCTCAAGTCTCTCAAAGGAGATCCAATTCATCATTCATCAATATTCAAAATATTCTAACCCCAAATTAAACCCTAAGACACCTATTTATAGTATTAGGAATTATTACATAGATGGGCCCAAAAGTTACCCGAAATGGGCCAATGGGTGAGCTAAGTCGGGCTCACCCAATCCTCTTGGAGAGTCTCCGATTAGTCAGCTTTGTGCACTGCTCCCTTGGCTTCTCCCTTGATGGCTACTGTAACTTTCGACGATCTTGGGGTCAATGGGCGATGCGTTGAATGTCCTCCATGCTCGCCGAATGGGCAGCCTTCTCTTGCAGCTAATTGGATCAATTGGCGATCCTGGAACCTTACCAAAAGGCTTTGGTGAGTCACCAAATTGTCCTTCAGCTCGCCGAATGGAGCACATTCTTCATTTGCTCCTCCTCGCTTCGTTAAGCCTCCCACGCTCCAAGCTATCATCCAAGCATGGTGTTGCCCAACTGGGAGCTCCTTCAAGGTGCACATGTTCCTATGCAAGGCATGGAACTCCCTTCCTGGCATCTATACATGCCAAACAGTCTCCATCCTTGTGAACACTCCATCAAAGCATTGAAGTTCGTGAATGGATAGGCTTGATGTAATCCATTTTATATCATTACTTAAGGTTCATGAAAACAACTATCCTACCCATGATTTGAAACTAGTGGCGGTTGTTTTTCCCTTAAATATTTAGAGGCATTACCTATATGGTGTTCATGTTGATGTCTTTAACGGCCACAAAAGGTTGCAATATGTGTTTAAGTAGAAGATCTAAGTCTTCTGCAAAAAAGGTGGCTTGAGTTACTAAAGGATTATGACAGGAGTGTCCTCACTCACTCCAGCAAGATGAATATGGTGACAAATGGTCTTAGTCAGTTATCAGTAGATAGTGTCACTCATATTGAGGATTGTAAGAAAGAGTTGGTTCAAGATGTTCATAGATTAGCCTGATTGGGTGTTCGGCTGGTTGATTCCACCAAGGGCGGTGTTATGGTTCAGTCTTTCATGTCAAATGTAAAAGCCAAGCAAGGTCTTGATCCGAATTTGGTCAAATTAAAGAAAGCGGTGCTTAAGAAATCCATTGACACTTTCTCCTTAAGGGGAGATGGTGTACTTTGGTCTCAAGGTTGTGTGTGTGTTCCCAATGTTGATGTTTGAGGGAGTAGATTGTGTTAGAATCCCATAGTTCTCAATATTCCATTCACCCAGGAGCCACCAAAATATACTATGACTTGCGGGAGGTCTATTGGTGGAATGGGATGAAAAAGGATATTGCAAAATTTGTGGCTAAGTGTCCTAATTTTCATCAAGTGAAAGTTGAGCATCAAAAGTCGGGAGGTTTATCCCAAGATATTATTATTCCTACTTAGAGGTGGGAAGATTTGAATATGGACTTTATTGTTGGTTGTTTACCCCGCACTCGGTGACAACATGACTCGATTTGGATTATTATGAATCGTATGATGAAATCGGCTCATTTCATCCCCATCAGTATTTCTTATTCGGTGGAGGACTATGCTAAGTTGTACTTGAGAGGAATGGTTAGGTTACATGGAGTGCCCTTATCCATTATCTCTGATCGTGGTACCCAATTTACCTTTCAGATTTGGAAATCTTTCAAAGGGTCTTGGTACTCGTGTTAAGCTTAGTACGACCTTTCATCCACAAATTGATGGGAAAGCAAAATGTATTATCCAAACTTTGTAAGATATGTTGAGAACTTGTGTGATTGACTATAAGGGTAATAGGGATGATCAGTTGCCTTTGATTGAGCTTTCTTACAACAATAACTATCATTCCAACATTGGTGTGGCTCCATTTGAGGCTCTTTATGGTAGGAGGTGTAGATATCCTATATGTTGGTTTGAAGTTGGTGAATTTGCCTTGATAGGTCCTGAGTTGGTAAATGAGGCTATGGAGAAAGTTCATCTTATTAGAGAAAGGTTGAAAACAGCTCAAAGTCAACAAAAGTCCTATGCCGATGTTAGAAGGAGAGACCTTGAGTTTGATGTTCATGATTGGGTTTAGTTGAAAATCTCACCCATGACAGGGTGATGAGGTTCGGAAAGAAAAAGAAGCTTACTCCCCGTTATGTGGGCTCGTATCAGATTTTGAAGTGTTTTGGTGAATTTTCTTCTGAACTTGATTTGCCTAATGATTTGGCATCGATTCATCTGGTTTTCCATGTCTCCTTGTTGAAGAAATGTGTTGGAGATCCAATATACATTGTTCCCTTGGAATGTTTGGGAGTTAAGAAGAATCTTTCTTATGAAGAAGTTTCGGTTGAGATTTTGGACCGGAAAGTTAAGAAGTTAAGAAATAAGGAAGATGCTTTCTTTGGAGGAATCAGTTAGTTGAGGGTGCAACTTGGGAGGTCGAGGCCGATATGAAGTCATGTGTCACTCCCCGAGCTACCCCCGAGATGCAGACGCGGGACCTAGGATCACAAGTGACCCTAAGCCAACCATGTTGGCATGACATGAGCATATTAAGAATAATAATAACTGATGCGGAAGCTAATCATAAGTAAGTCTGAAATGATGGGGAATACCCATTCTAAAACTAAATATATCAAATCTGAGAGTTTACTACAAGAGAAATATAAAACTCAAAGACTAAGCTGAATCTAACTATGTTTGATAATGGCCTCTAATTGACTAGAAGTGTTGGGACATGCCCCAGCTAAATCTAGAAAAACTAAAACTAAAACACTGAAATACTGAAGTAAATAACATGATTATTGTTCTCGGAGAATGCGGACTGTAGCTGAGCTAGAGATCGGGAAATGATCTATGCGTGATCTGGAAGTTGAGAACCTCAACCTACATCATGAGAAGATGTAGCATAGAGTATGCGTCAGCACTTGAAAGGTACTGAGCATGCAGGATAGAGTAAAGTTGAAATAACATATAACTGAACAAGCAATAAAGCAAGGATATAAAATGAACATGATATAGATACTGAATGCTGAAGTAACTGAATGAAATAACCAAATTTATAACATACTAAGACTGAATATTGACTGTACTGAAATTTGATCAACGCAATGGAGTTTGACTGAACTGTGGGAGCTACTAATAACCTATAATAAAACCACATGAGATAAATGTGGAGTCCGATGAATATGCCCCATAGAGAGGACCCAATACACCCGGCCAAAGGTGTAGACGCATTCTGGCGTGATCACTAAAATGATGCCCACAGAGAGGACTTACAACCTACGTGGCTCGTAGTTCTGGGACTATATGGATTACTGACCCTAGTCCAACACGGTATTATGCTACTCCCAATAGTTTAAAAGATTAACACATTAAGACTGAATTTATGTAATATACTAGATAGCTCAAAACTGACATGCAAACTAAGAATGCATATTAATATACAGATACTCACACATTCAAAACTGAGGCATGTATATATCTGAAATACTGAAATATTTAATCTAGCATCTGTAATTCAAGAACTAAAGAACTACATAGCTAGGGTTCTAAAATTTATGCTAGAAATCAAGTAATCACATGATACTCTGATTTGGAACATTTAAATAACTCATTCATAATAATCTGCTGAAGTTCTAGAAACCCTAGGTTTAGTTATTAATAGGGAATTAAGAATTTGACTGAATTTTAGGGACCTAATGGGTGAAAGGAATCCACTAGTGAAATCCCATATACCTAGTGATGAAATCCACGAAGGAATCTTTTGATTTCGGGGCTGGAACTGATGGCACCTTGTTGCACTCTTGAATTAGGGTTCTTGACTTCTTTTTTCCTTTCTCGCTCCAATTTGCTAAGTTTTCATGAAAGCTCTAATTTAGGTAAGTTCTAGTTATCTTTCTAGGCTAAAACTAACCAAAACCACGTAGTTTAGGGTAAAAATGACGTAATTTAGTGGTTCAACGAACTAGGAAAAGACCAAAAGACCCATGACTTAAATTCCATATGGGGCTGACCATGGCCTCTTCCATGGACCGTGAAAGAGACCACGGACCGTGGGACCGATCGTGGTCTGTGGTCTAGTGACTACTGATCTGAGGGTTTGTCTCACGAGCCTTACCACGGCCCGTGTGATGGACCACGGATCGTGAAGGTCCTCGTGGTCCTCACTTGGGTTGAGGTCTAGTGGCTCATGATTTGGGGTCCACTGGCTAGGCTTCTACGGACCCTCCCACGAACCGTGTGGAGAACCACGAACTGTGAAGGTCCCCGTGGTCCTCACTTAGGCGTGGGGTTCTAAGGGTTAGGCTTGGCTTAAGTCTGAGGGTCTACTGGTTAAGCTTCACGGATGCCCCCACGGCTCGTGAAGGGTCCCATGGTCTGACTTATGGGGCTGGTGGAGTCCAACTCCCCACCACGGGCAGGTCAACACACCGTGGTCCCTGTCACGGTCCGTGACCCTTGTCGTGGTTCACTGCTTCAGGTAAATTTCTGAATTTTTTTTCTAGGTCTGGTTTTTGAAGTGTTACAATATCTGCCCCTTGGGAACACTCGTCCTCGAATGAAGACTAATCTAGCTAAAATGGAGGGAAAATAGTTGCACCCTACCACTAAATTTTTGGAAACTGATTTTCGACTGAACTAAGTTCCAAGAACATGCAAATACGCTGAAAATGCAAGTACAAATTGAAGGAACAAGATGCTAAGACTGAGTTTACGCATGAATGACTGAAAACTGAAGAGGAACTATACCTCAAGCTGGAATGGAATCGGAAGAAAAGAGGTGAGGATACTTGGCCTTCATGACTGCTTCTGCTTCCCAAGTAGCTCCCTCTACGGACCGACTCTTCCACAAAACCTTAACTGAAGCGACTTATTTGTTCCTCAACCTTCGAACCTGACAGTCAAGGATTTCAACTGGTACCTCTTCATAAGTTAGACTATCCTTCACATCCATACTTTCTAAGGGTACAATAGATGTTGGATCACCCACACACTTCTTCAACAACAAAAAGTGGAAGACCGAATGCACTGCTGCTAGTTCTATTGGCAACTCTAACTTATATGCCACTTTACAAACCCTTTTTAAGATCTTGTAAGGGCCTACATATCTAGGACTGAGCTTTCCTTTCTTGCCAAATCTCATCACCCCTTTCATGGGTGACACTTTCAGGAAAACCCATTCATCAACTTGGAACTCTAGTTCCCTTTTCCTTACATCTGCATAGGACTTCTGGCGACTTTGGGCTGTCTTAATTCTATCTCTAATGAGTTGCACTTTCTCCATAGAATCATGAACTATATCTGGGCCTATCAAGACTGCTTCACCTACTTCAAACCAACCAACTAGAGATCTATATCTACGCCCATACAATGCCTCATAAGGGGCCATCTGAATGTTAGAATGGTAACTATTGTTGTAGGTGAACTCTATAAGAGGAAGGTTATCGATCATTCCAACTACACTTGAATTTGATCACACAAGCTCTCAACATGTCCTCTAAGGTCTGAATGGTATGCTCTGCCTGACCATCCATTTGTGGATGAAATGTTGTGCTAAGGTTAAACTGAGTACCAAGACCTTTCTGAAATGACTTCCAGAAATGAGAGGTAAGCTGAGGACCTCTATCTGAGATAATAGAAAAAGGAACTCCATGCAACCTGACTATCTCATTAATGTAAAACTTGGCGTAGTCCTCCACCGAATCAATAGTCTTGATCACCAAAAAGTGAGAAGACTTAGTGACTCTGTCAACTATCACCCAAATGGAGTCATGATGTCTGCTAGTACGAGGTAAACCTATGATGAAGTCCATGTTGATCATTTCCCACTTCCAAGTAGGAATGTTGATCTCTTGAGTCATACCTCCTGGTTTCTGATGTTCTACCTTGACTTGCTGGCAATTGGGGCACTTAGCCACAAAATCTGCTATATCTCTTTTCATGTCATTCCACCAATAAACATCCCACAGATCACAGTACATCTTAGTGGCACCGAGATGAATAGAATATCTGGAGTTATGGGCTTCTGAAAGAATCTATTGTCTCAACTCACCCACCTTAGGAACATATAATCGACCCTGATAGCGAAGTATACCATCTCCCCCTTGGGAGAAAACCTCAACCCTCTGCTGGTGGATTCACCCTTTAATTCAAGCAATATCGGATCATTGTCTTGCTTTTCCTTCACCTCCACTACCAAAGAAGACTCTGACCCATTCTGAACAGTTACACCACTATCTGATATGCTCATAAGACGAACTCCTAAGCGAGCAAGTCTGTGAACATCCTTTGCTAGTTCCTTTCTTTCTTCCTCAACATGCGCTACACTACCCATATATAGTCTACTAAGAGCATCTGCTACCACATTGTCCTTACCAGGATGGTAATGCACACTCATATCGTAGTCCTTGAGGAATTCAAGTCATCTCCTCTGGCGAAGATTTAACTCTTTCTGGGTGAACACATACTGAAGGCTCTTATGGTCTATGAACACATCTACGTGAACACGAAACAGGTAATGTCTCCAAATCTTAAGTGCAAACACCACTGCTGCTAGCTCAAGGTCATGAGTTGGATAGTTCTTCTCATGCACCTTAAGTTGTCTAGAAGCATAAGCTATAACTTTACCTCGATGCATCAACACACAACCTAGGCCGACTCTGGATGCATCACAATAGATCACATAACTGTCTGAACCCTCTGGTAGAGTCAAAACAGGAGTTTTAGTCAACCTAGTTTTTAATTCTGCAAAGCTTTTCTCACAATCATCTAACCACTGAAACTTGACCTTTTTCTGAGTCAACGTAGTCAATGGAGAGGCTATGAATGAAAATTCTTCCATGAACCTTCTGTAATAACCTGCTAGACCCAAGAAACTTCTGATTTATGTAGGAGAGGTAGGTATGGGCCATTGTTTCACTATTGCTATCTTTTGAGAATCCACTCGAATCCCTTCGTTAGACACAATGTGACCAAGGAAAGCAACGGATTGTAACCAAAACTCACATTTGCTAAACTTAGCGAATAACTGGCGATCTTTGAGAGTTTGCAGAACAACCCACAAATGACTCGCATGTTCTTCCTCATTCTTAGAGTAAATGAGGATATCATCAATAAAGACGTTAACGAACAAGTCCAAATACTGCTTGAACACTCTTTTCATTAAATCCATGAAAGTTGCAGGAGTATTGGTTAGTCCAAATGACATTACTACAAATTCATAATGACCATACCGAGTCCTGAAGGTTGTCTTTGGAATGTCACTATCTCTGACTTTGAGCTGATGATAACCCAATCTGAGGTCTATCTTTGAAAAATTACTAGCACCCTAAAGTTGATCAAACAAGTCATCAATCCTAGGGATGAGATACTTATTCTTGATTGTGACCTTGTTCAACTACCTATAGTCAATGCAC